TATTGAGCCTATAAATCCCAAATCCGGGCTTCACAGCGATGTTCAGGAGATCGAGATCTGTCGATTGGTGAAGGAATTAGTGGGATTTATAGGCTAGATCGCGAAATCGGCTCCGCACTTATACATTTTTGATGGGAGCTCCTAAAGGTAAAAAATAATCGCGCATATGGGGACCCCTCCCCCATGCGCGGCGGTCGATAAGGGCGGAGGGGCGCCAACCACCTAGCACCGGTGTGGTGCCTGATCGGTGCACTGCGTTGGCACCATGCTAGCAGCAGCAGCAGCCCGACTTTTCACATTCTGGTACGCTATTGTGAGACTCGTCATTAGTGCTGGCTAGTCCTCCTTGTCGGTGTTGTCCTCGCAACCATCGGCCGTACTGTCTGCTCCGATGGTTGCGCCGTCTCCACTACTGTTGGTTGAGTTGGTCAGGGTACTGCAGTTGGTTGCGCTGTCGCGCGTTACTTAGTCTCATCAGGGGGAATCGCAAGGCTGTAGGCACTGAGGGGTCCGTGCACCCCACTGGCGTGGGGCCCCGCACGGACCTTCTGGGATTCGAACCTTAGATCTCGGGAATGAGAGACATGAGTACTAACCACTACACTATCGTCGAGTTCAATTTATTGTTGTTCATTGGAAGTCGTCAGGCTCTAATGTGCTATGCAATGTTAGATAAGCCCACTACCTGGAGTCGACATAGATAATGATGCTGAGCACTACACTGAGCCAAGTACAAACAATACTACTCAATAGAGTGGCTGGACAACCATCACTGACAAAATTATAAAATTTATATATCCAGGATTCGAACCTGGATCATCCGTATGACCAACCTGAAGACTAACCATTAGACCAAACTACCTATATAAAATATGATGCTTCAATAATAACGCTTGATGCTCAGACTAGTTCAGACCTACTTGTACACTGGTGGGTGGTCATCCGCGACCCCACGGACACTATCCTACTGATTGCCGTTGCACTTATCGCTGTAACACCCAACCCAC